GGGGGCGCCCTCGTGGCTTTAAGCACCCTGCAGCTGCTGCTGCACCTGACAGACAACCGACTGTTAGGTGTGGGAGGTGGGGTGTGTGTGTGTTGGAAGTCATCAGAGAGGCTGGGCCAGCAGCTTTGCTTCACCTCACAGGTGGTTGTTGGCCACTCCTGATTTCCTCAACTATCATTAGCTCTCTGCAGTCCCCTGTAACTGGTTTTTGTTTTAACTCAGAACACTGAGCTCTGCAGCTGACCAATCAGAGAGTGGGGGGGTGCAGGGAGGCAGCTGCCTGGCAGTCGCATAGGAATCAATGGGGGGAGCACATTTTACCCCTTTTGACCCACTTAGGGGTCAAATTTCTAAAAATCCCTTTTTAGTGAGCACCTACGCCATGGTAGGAGTGCTCTCCCTGAATGTGGTGTCTCTAGGTCCAGCGGTTGGGCCTGGGCATTGATTTTACGGTGAGGGGACTTTCTTATATATAGATAGATGAAAACGGGGGGAGGGCTTCTTTTGAGTGGAGAGAACCCCACTTGTGGGCAACACACAAGCATTCAACTCATTACATGAAAGCACAGACAAGCCCACCCCAACCATACACACTTTCGTTGTAAAATGTGCTTAGTCTTAATTAAATGCTGTCAAGTTACAACTGACTCATGGCAATCCCCAATGGGTTTCTCAAGGCAAGAAATGAGCAGCAGAGGTGGTCTGCCATTTGCCTACCTCTACCCAGGCTTTCCTTGGTGGTCTCCCATCCAAGTACTAACCATGGCCAACCCTGCTTAGCTTCTGAGACTAGTTTGGGCAATTTAGGCTGCCTAGCCTTACTCTGCTGTAAACAGGAGAAACAGAAACAGACATCTTCTATGAAGTCTAATTCAGTTTTCAAATGTAGTCACAGAATCTGACTAGTGAAACAGAAACCTCATGAGTTCACTATTTAAAATAGGCACAACATGTACCTGACAGAAGCATTAACACCTGAGGCTCTTACACAATCTATCTTTTAACCTTAAGCACACAGGAGAAATCCCCTACAAGGAGAAATTATTGACATTACTTCCATAGCACATGTTTTACGGGTTATTAAAAAATGAATGAACACAGAAGCACACACAAAAATCCTGTAGTAGGAGAGGTAGACCCCAGGACACTGTGTCTTCTGGAAGGCAAAAGGTACAGTTCCTATAAACTGTTTCTTTACAATTTGATATTCTAAAACTTATTTTAAATGAACTCCATCCCTAACTCTGTCATTGCTTGCATAACCTTCCCCTTAAGCCTACTTACATTTCCTTTGCAGCGATGAAATTATCGGAAGGATAATGGGAACATGTTCAATTTCTAATCCTTGCTCTGTTATCTGGTGTAACCGTCCCCGTAGTTTAACATTCTTTTCTATAAATTCTATCGGTATTTCCAGAGCATTTGTGAATTTGGTTGTCTATTCACAGAAAAGGGAAGGAGGGACAACAAACAAAAATGTTACAAAAATAAGTGCAGAACTTTGTAACAGCAGTATAACTGTTGGGATGGGCTGTACACCTGAAATAAATAAAATCACACCCCACGAAAACAGAAGACATCATCTCTTCCTCTATCTTATTTAACTGGGCTATTTCACACATTATGCAGAGAAAATCTGGGTTGCCGTTGCCACCAAGTGCACACACCCTCACCAGGGAACTAAGTGATTAATGGACGGGGTGTGGCTCGGCAATAGAGCTTCTGCTCTACTTGCAGAAGGTTCCATGTTCAATCCCTGGCTTCTCCAGTTAAAAGGATGAACTAGCAGCTGAGGTGGAAGACCTCTGCGGGAGACTCTGGAGAGCCACTGCCAGTCAGAATAGACAAGGCTGACCTTGACAGACCATTGGACTGAGGCAGTTTTACCTGTTTTCATTGCTGTACAACAATGCAAATTTGTTGTGCATGTCTGCAAACATTTACTGCATTCACAACTTATTTTTGGTAAAGGTAAAGGTTCCCTTGCTCTAAAGCCAGTCGAATCCGACTCTAGGGTTGCGGTGCTCATCTCCGTTTCAAAGCCGAAGAGACAGCGCTGTCCGAAGACGTTTCCATGGTCATGTGGCCGGCATGACTAAACACCAAGGCGCACGGAACGCTGTTACCTTCCCACCAAAGTGGTACCTATTTATCTACTTGCAATTTCTTGCTTTCGAACTGCTAGGTTGGCAGGAGCTGGAACTAGAGACGGGAGCTCACTCCATCATGCGGCAACCCGGGTCTCGAACCGCTAAACTACCGACCTTCCACAGCCTGCAGTTCAGCGTCTTAACCACTTGAGCCACCGCAGCTTTTTTTTCCAGTAGCAAACCTTTAAAAAAGCTCAATGCACGGTCTGCCTCAAGGGTTGCCGACCCCTGGCACACATGCCAACAGTGCCACACCTGATCCTTTTGCATGGTACCCAGACGAAATCTCCACCCAGGCAACTGAGGCACTGGCAGCAATGCTGGGACCAGTGATGCAGTAAAGGACAACCATCCCCCACCAAGATCTGCACAGTCACCAACTCAGTCCAAGGTGAAGCAGTAAGACACTCGCAGCACCGCTGGGGTTCAGCTTGCTCCAAGCATGTCTGGCCTAGCATAACCCTTGCCTCCCACCTCCATCCCCATTATGTTTCCTGGCACACTATCAACAGCTTCATGGGTAAATGCTGCATTCCCCCCCCCCCTTGAAACCTGGGCCAAAAAGACTGCCTGGTCTGTTCTATTTCCTGTAGCAGGTAAGTGAGGTGGATGCTAAGATAGCTGATCGTTACCTCAGACCATCACCGAAAAAAAAAGGAGTGTGTGTATGGGAGACAGAATGTGGTTCATGGTGCTGCGGGAACCCAGCTTGAAGCAGAGATGGAAGAGGCAGAGTTGGTGGAACTGGACCAGTTAAGTAGAGCTTACCGTCATACTGCCCTACAGCTATGTTACATATATCATATCCAGCCTGTACTATTAGGAAATCTAAGCCGTGATTTAGCTTCTTTACCAAACCTTCACTACTATTGCTCTGCAAGGTCTTTTTGGAGAAATGCAAGACCTTGCGAACAAGGAGCCCGAAGGTCCCGTAAATAAGCAGAACAGAACAAGTCTGAAAACCATGCTCAGCCTGGTGCTTCAGGGACTAACCAACTGACACGTTTATGTGTGCTCATACAAAAACACTCAAATCGAACCATGCTGGTAGCAGTGCAAAGTCATTTAGCATCAATTCAAATTAAGAATGTTAAGGCACACTGCATACTGAAGTTCATCCTGCAGTTTCATGCGCCTCAGCTAGGGAAGCCCTTGGCATTGTACATCAAACAAAGCGAAGAGACCCTCACAATCTAAGTAAGCAGAAGGTTACAAGGGAAGGCCAGAGAGACGCAGAAAATCGGCACAGCGAAGCCCGTTACTAATCAGGCAGGTAAATACACCAACAGAAGGAACCCGGCACATGGCAGGAAAGACAGAACAGGCTTCAGGACATAAAGCACACCCTCACTGAGTATGCAGGTCACATTTTTGCACCACAGCCACCCTCCAGCTTCACCCCGTGGCCGAGCTGCTTCTGCTGGCACTGACAGACGCAAACATAAGGGGAAAGGGACAAAGGGTATTCTTTACCAGAGCTCTGGCTGCAAGCCATTACCATGACAGGGTCTATTTATGCCATTTCAGGAATAAATCACAGTAAAGCGGGTTTGGGAAACAGCATATACTGAGAACAGGGATAACCTGGAAGGAGGACAATTACAGCATGATGCCATGTGTGAAAACCTCCAAAAAGCATGCTCCGGTTTGGAAGCCAGGGTGGAGAAAACCCTCCATATGGAAGCCGTTTTCCTCTGCTGTGTCCCAATCAAACTGGAAGCCCCAATGACTGCTATTTACTACCGGGGAGTCCTGAGCATGGATCTTCCAGTGTCTCTTCCAGTAAAGCTCCCTTGGAGCCAACTAGGCAGAGTTACAAATTCAGGCATCTGTGGCCATTTTTTCAGCCAATCTCTTGTTTAGGTTTTAAAAATGTACACAGGAAAAAAGTAAAGTGGGAAGAGGCCTGTGATCATTGCAAACAAATGAGAAATCCTTCTAAACTGTTTCAATAATGATTTGATTAATAACTGAGTGCCAGAGGAGAGACTCTTACCCTGTCAGAGGATGGGAGCAGAGAGCATTTTATTAGCTGCAGAGGTAGAACATGCATACAATGTTTCTACAAAACAATAACCCTTGTACGGATGCAAAATGCTCATCAAAACAAGTTTCTAAACTGCAGCCAGCTAACTATGCTTTATACTTGACTCTGCAGAACTGTATTTATTCTTCAGCTTCTGATTAATCATAAAGTGGGCTCTTGAAAATACAAGCAACCCCATCAATTATCAGGATTTCTATTAATTATACTATTGTGTAAAAGAATATAATAATAATAGTATAATAATATTAAGCCCAGGAAATTAAATCCCTGCAGACCTATTTAAACAGGAAGGTTTTACACTTTTGTCTGAAAACAAGTGACTAGTGTCTCTGCTCTGGAACGCCTCTTTGCAGGGGCCACTATCAAAAAGCCTCTGTCCCATGTCTCAGCCCATTTTATCTGCATGCCACAGCATATCTGGATAAAGTTTTGCTTTCAACATGTGAGCAATTGTGTAGATTGACATATACGGGGAGAGATGCTCTCAAAAAGCTTAAGGACTAGTGGCCATTTAAAAAGCTGGAGCCTTTCTGCAAAGCAAGACTTCTTTATTTCAGCTGACTTTGAGTGGACAGGACAAAAGCTGTTAACAGCCATTAGATTGATTTTGGTCTCCTCAGATCAATGTGTTTTTACATTTTAGCTCACCTCAAGCTTTAGAAACTGGGCAGACTGGAAATCTAAATAAATAATTATTCTGCTTGTAGCAACACACATGCTCTATTTTAAACAGAAATGAAAAGGTGGTAAAATAGCAAACTGCTCATTACCTCACTTATTTGTTCTATAACACATAGTTTCTGCAGACATTTGATGGAGAACTACTGAAAACCATTTGCAACTTACCAACTTAACACTCTTTGTAAGTAAAATTACTCCAGCGATTGCCATTCCTGTGCTGATATTCTGTAGAAGAAAGAGTTCATGAGTCATTTAAATCTCCAGCCCATTACTCTCATTGTATTGCTTGAATCTTAGCCACCAGCATCAGGGACATGGTTTAGAAGAAATGCCAAATCATGATGCACTGCTATGTTAACAATCCTTCGGGAGTCTCAAATTCACACACACCCTCCCTCGAGTGTCACAAACTAGTTAGGTTTGTATGGCAAACTGCATCTCTCTGACAAATCCAAACCAATAAACTATGGTATGTGCTTGTCCAGGAAACCAGGAATAAATATTGATTACCCATCCATTTAGATCATCTGAGGCCCTTTAGTGTTCCCTGATTACCTGAAGACAGGTGCCTGCACACCAGAGGGCCTTTTCAATAGGTGCTTCCAGGCTCTGGAACTCCCAAGGAGATATGTCTGACTGTATGTATCCCTTTATGCCTATGGTGAACACTGTACGATCGCAGAAGACATTCAGTAGTATGGTTTACTGTGTTTCATGCTGCCAGTTTAACATCTGTCTGCTGTTTTGGGGTGTTTTAGGTTGTCACCCCCCCAAAAAAATGCTAGTATTTATGGAATGTCTGACTTCTTGTATTTTGACGTGGAAAAAAAAAATGTTTGCCCAACTAAAGAAAAATGTTTCACAAGTAAATATTCCAAAAGCCCAAAGTAGGGCATTTAACTTTATGTGACAAAACCTTTCTCCAGCCAATACACAATGAGTGGCCTCCTTTGTTAACTGAAGCATATAACCTATGTGAAGACAGGCATAAGGGAAACTAGCCAGCCCCGAAAGACACTTCACCAATTACTCAGTTTCAGGGCGGGACACTGTGGAGAATTCACCTTGTTCCCCAAGCCTGTCACCAGCCACTGTTTTAGAAAGTTAAGGCTCAGTATTCAGAAGAGGAGGAGGAGATTGGATTTATACCCCGCCCTTCATTTGAAGTCTCAGAGCGGCTTACAAACTCCTTTCTTTCCCCTCCCCACAACAGACACCCTGTGAGGTAGGTGGGGCTGAGAGAGCTCTGACACAAACTGCCCTTTCAAGGACAGCTCTGACAGAACTATGGCTTGCCCAAGGTCATCCAGCAGCTGCAAGTGGAGGGGTGGGGAATCAAACCCGGTTCTCCCAGATTAGAGTCCGCGCACTAAACCACTACATCAAACTGGCTCTTCCTGCTTTTCTGCCCAGTGGCATCCCAAAGCGGGTCAATTCTGGATCAATGTTCCAGAGGGCAGCTGTGCTGGTCTGCAGCAGAACAGCTAGATTTGAACCCAGCAGCACCTTAGAGACCAAAGAGATCTTTGGCTTATAAAGCTCCGTTTGTCAGATACCGTCTCTTTGTTAGGAAAGTAATTTTTTTAGGAAAATGTTTTTTATTGATTGAAAAAATTCTTAGTACATCTATCTTTGAAAACAAATATATAAACAATACTTGAACAATAACAATGCTAAACATACAACCAAACTTTTAAACTTTCCTACAAATTATAATAAAGTTTCTTCAGATTACAACAGACAACCCTATTTGTTAGCCGCCCTGAGACACTATGTGTAGGGCGGGATATAAGTCTCAAAAATAAATAAATAAATAAATAACATTAATTACAACAATATAACGTATAAAACAAATTACAGAATAATAACTATTATGGTCACATGAATTCGTAGGTACGTCACATAAAGATAAATAACATTTGATACAGCTTATCCTCACCGGAGGATTTGTTTCCTGAAACCACATCCCGCATTTGGACCATTGAGAAGGTTTCGTATCCCCCCCCCCCAAAAAAAATGTAACCTGTTTAGGGGTATCTGACAAAGGGAGCTCTGACTCTCCAAATCTTGTTCGTCTCTAAGGTGCTCCTGGACTCAAATCTCCCTGGATCACTTTAACTAAAGAGCAGTGTGCCTCTGAGCACGTCGAGAGTGCCCATTCCCTAGCGAGGGAGGACACGGGACTGACAAACAAGAAGCCTTTGCGCTAACGAAGCCCAGACGGAGCAGGACTCCTGCCATCCTTCCCATCCCAGCTCGCAAGCGGGTGGGCTGCCCGCCTCCAGGGCTCCCATGTCCTCCCCCGGCGGCGGAGAAAGAGCGCCGAGCCGCCCTGTCAGACTCTCTCCTCTCACCCGTCCCCTCGACGTACCCGGATGAGGGTGAGATGCGCGTCTGCCCATTCCGAGAGGCGCGCGATATAATTCGCCGGCTCTTTGCCGCGCTGCCCCGCCATGGCCTAGACGCAGACGCAGACGCAGCCCGTCCTTCTTCCCCAGCCCCGCACTTACGTTCCGGCCAGGCCGCAGCGCCACTTACTGGCCACTTGGGGAGTTACACGGCAGCAGAGTCGACGCAGAGGAAGCAGAGGCTTTCGCGGGGGGAGGGTGCATGCTCTTCTCCCTTTGAAAAAGTGTCTTGCACACGGAAGCTCATACCTTGAATAAACCTTTGTTGGTCTTAAAGGTGCCACGGGATTCTAAATTTGTTCTGCTGCTTCAGACCTACACGGCTGACCATCTGGATCTACCACTTTTAACCAAGTAAAAAATTTTAATAGTGGGTTCAGATCCCACCCCCGTGGTTGCAGTTAGTCAGTGATAATGCGCAGGAGGAACTCTGCAGATTATCAAAGGCACTTGTTATTTTAGGTATTCCCAAAATCAAGCCCTGCTATTGGGTTTAGCTACCGGAGGGAAACACCGGTTGGATTTTCACAGGCACTTCTTGAGACGCCAGGGTTTAAACAATAAGTGACTATCGCAGAAACATTCGAAAGATTTTTGAAACGATTACTGTTGGACAATAATAGCCTTTTCACAAACAAGCTGCTGACACTCAAAATTTGTAGATCTGCGGTCATGATCAACACCAATGTAAAGGACTTTAAATAGCAGGCTGTTATCTTTCAGATCGTCTTAACTGCACATTTTGAAGAGGGAGAGTCAGACCACTACCGTGTGTGCCTTTTGGGTGCACTACTACTAGGATGTTGTGATATGGGTGTGCTGCTGACAATTTGAATTTGATAACACACATTTCCAGGAAGGAACACAGAATCATAAATATGCCACCCCCAACTGAACCAATTACATGCCTTACTAAAACAGCAACCAAAATAAGATAAAAGCAGTGACAGATGGACATGCAAGCAGTGTTAATTAAAAGTTAGAACAGACCTAGCCCACATCTGACAGTAAATATAAGGCCAGGAGACCATGTGGAAGGAACTCCATAATTAGGGAGCTATCAGTGAAACACTCTTCTCTTTACAGTACCCACCCACCAGCCTCTGAAGCCATCCAGACAAGACACCATCACAATGTCAGGGAGCTTGGCATGGGAAAGAACTGTCACACCTTGTTACCAAACTTGTTCAGGACATAATCAGCTGAAACCAGCATTGTCAATTGTGCAATTCAAGATCTCCCCTGCCCCTTATTTTATTGTTAAGGGGGGAGAGAATAATGGGGGGCACACAAAAAACACTCATTACAAAGTTTCAAGAAACACAAAAGGAGGGAAACCAACCATCAGTAGTTTTTTTATTCCATGACATTATACACAAGGTCCATCTTTCAGTGAATGTATCAGCCCTTACATCTTCATTTATACTTATACTTTCACATGCTGCTTTAGGCATGAAAGCTATTTTCTTCCCATCATTACTATTAGGGGCTAGAGAGGATTTCCAGCAAGACATCACACATTGTCTTGTAGCAATTAACAGGCTCATGATAAGCTCTGAGGCAAGTGCAGTCTTTTAACATAATAAAGCAACCAAAGGATCAAATGGTCATCATATCCCATACAAAAAGATTTGGTGCCATAAAAAGTTCTAGTTGAGAACAACTGAAAACATACAAATCTGCCTGACTTGAGAGAGAATACGATAGTCCTCTTTGGAGGAAGACTACGAAACAACTTTGTACTCTGTAAAATTTCGTCAACAAAATTGTTTTGGGCCTTTTTTGTACATGTTATATGACTTATGATTAATAATATTTTTGTACTTAATTATATATTTGTAATTATTGGCTTTGGTATTGTTATTTAGCGTACATACACAGCTTTTGTTGTTCCTCTTTTTCATTGCTCATCGGGGCTGTGGTTCTCTGTTTTTTGCATTTTTGAGTGATAACTCCAACATAAGTTCTGGTATCAGTGGTATATGAAAAACTGCAGGATGTCAGGTGCCATGCATTATTTTCACAGTTTGCTCTTTAGTCAGGTGAAATAAGTGTTTAGTATGCATGTCTTCATAACAATTTGTAAACATCATTTAGTAATTCTAACCATTTTATTTCAATTGACAACATAGCTAAGATTTGATCTCTCCACTTTCACCAACAAATTACAGAACCCTGAAATATAACCAAGGAAACCACTACTAAACAGCTTTTCAAGCTGTTTCCAGCTTCCTTATATTTCCTTAACAATTCAGTTATCGCATATCTCATTTGTAGAATTTTGCGGAAAGGAGGTTTTATAAGCCATTCATTCGATCAGTAATCTCTTCTTAAAAGAATACTGCACCCTGGCTCAAAAAAGATCTTTCATACAAGTTATATCTCTGCCTAGGTATGTGGTGGAGGAGGAAAGTGCCATCAAATTGCAGACAATTTATGGCCACCCCATGGGGCTTTCAAGGCAAGAGACGTTAAGAGGTGACTTGCCCTTGCCTGTCTCTGCAGAGCAACCCTGGACTTCCTTGGTGGTCTCTCATCCAAGTGCTAACCAGGCCCAACATTGCTTAGTTTCCAATATCTTGCAAGACCGGGCTAGCCTGGCTCATCCAGATCAGGGTCTGCATAGGTATAAGCATTGTCCTTATGTAAAGAGACATTTTGCCAGCAAAGATCTAAAAGTATCAGAGTACGTTTATCCACAGCAAGTTCCCAGTAAGTACCTGACATTTCCAAACACTTTTCAAAGAGAGCTCTCCATAAAGAACATTGTAGTCATCCACCCTGGACACTATGTCATCACAGCACATATAACTGTGGCAAGGCAATCTCTTTCCAGAAACAGGTACAGATGGCAAACCAACCAAAGCAGATGAAAGACAGTCTGTGTTACTAATGACATTTGTACCCCCTTCAGATATAGAACCACACTGAAGTTACAAATATATTGCTCAGATGGGCATACAGTCTCAGATGATTACAGTATTACCTGAAAGTTTTCTTGGCCACTGCAGTTGGACTCTTTCTTCCGTCTGAGGGGGCAAAAGATATCCTGAGGTGTCCAAGATTTGTGATTCGCTCACAACATATGCAATTCGTCCTGACTAAGAATTCAGTACAGTTCATATGGAGAATATCTGTTGGTATCAGGGGTCATTTAGTACAAAAAGAGCTAGGGGAACTCATTAGCATAACTCATTAGCATATACCACACCCCCTGACATCAGGGGCCTGGTGGTGGACCTGCAAGGCCGGCGGGAGTGCGAGGAAGCCCCGCCAAGGCCCTCCCTGGCCCCAGGCAGGGGTGGGGAGAGGCGGGGGGGGAGCAACCTACCCTCCCTCTTCTCCTGCCTCCTCCTGGCTGAATGACGGCTGGAAGCGGGGCGGCCGGAAGCAGGGGGCGGGGCTTCATTGTGTGCCCCGCCCCCCTGCACCTCACCCGGGGGAACTGTGTTCCCCCGCGTTCCCCCCCGAAATGACCTCTGTATATAAATAAATAGTGTGTGTGTGTGGTTAAGGTCCTCAATTTCGGCCATTTTCTGTTCGTGCCTATGGGACTCTCACAAAATCAAGATGTACTATAGGCCAGCATCCCGCAACAGTTTTACTTTGAGGCACGCCTTAAAACTTCCATGAAACTAAAGTACTTAATTTGCAGACAGACTTTTGGTAGTTTCACTCACAGACTTTACCATAGGAATTGTTTTACACACCTCAAAGTATGGTGAGGAAGTGTTTAAATACTCTTGCCTGGACTGGGTTGCTGATATGCACAGAAGTTGCTCTATGTATCTGGGGAAATTAATGCATGCCACATTTCCCACGGACACGTCTTCTCTGTACAGAAAAGCAAACAGTTTTCCAATGTATATCAAAATCTGCAGTGCACAAAGCAGTCTTTAAAAACTTGAGCTTCTACCTGATCCCCAGCACTCTCAAGTTGCAGGCAGGGCCTGGGGTCTTAAAAACTTGAGGTCTTCTAGGGCCCTCTGCTTATCCATGCTAACTTAACAACAGAATTTTGATTCATTAATTTCACAGCTGTTTCACTATATGCCAGCCACTACAAGTCCTCCAACCCTCTTTCCAGTTCAGCAGCACAAAGTAACTGAGACATTCCCAGTCAAGTAATCATCCATCTTACCTCAGGGCGACATGAATTGTTTTGGAAGCACAGTGCTTGAGATAGTGGAAGGAAGAAGAGAAGGCACAGAAAAACCTCTCTCTAATTCTATTAATTTGATCGCTATGAACAATTACATGGTATCAAAGTATACATTCTTTTTAACGATACTGATCACACTCAACAAGACTTCTAAGAAAATACACACAAAACATTAAAATCGGAATATTGCTTTATTGAAACAAACTGGAGAACTTCCAAGACTTTCTAATAAGGTGTTCCCATGAACTTAGCACTTTAAATAACAAAGAAACCATACTGTGCTCTGATAATTAACAACAAGGATTTACATAATTCTTAAAGCTTTACATTGAAAAGTGATGGTAAAAGCAAACACTTTTGGTAAAACAGAATGTTAAACATGTTATGTTGCCTGTTAGAAGTTGGCCATTTAATTGTCAATCAACCAACGTTTTTGTTCTGTTCTTTAATACGATTAATAGCCGCTTCAAAGTAAACAGAACTGCTTGTATTTTAAAATAGCAATGCTTTAATTTACAGCATATTGTAACAGATAAAAAAACCAAACTTATTAAAAAATAGTTCAGCATATACATTATACCTCTATTCCCCTTCTATTATTACACCCAAATAAGTAATAATTCCAGAAAGTCCCTGGCCACAACTGAATCATTTCTCAGTAAAGCCAGCTTTTCACATGGTCCATTTAAGCAAATTGTATAATGCTTTTTTCCAATTAGTACATTACTTAGAAAGTGTTATATAAAATGAAGTTGATTGTATAATTAATTCATGTCAAGTAACTTGAGATTTTGTCTTCTTCAATAGAAGGTAATAGTATATATTATACAATACCACTGTGGATATGTCTGATGAAACTTCATAGATACAAACAGAATTCCCAAGGAATTAAAATCCAGGCAAACGCAAACAGCACTCTCAGAAAATCGGTGACTTTACAGTTAAGCAAATACCCAGAAACAGTAGCTAAGCTTTAAAAATCCAACAAAGATCGAGGTAATGTTTTTAAGTACATCACTGGGTAATAAATTCAAGCTGCAGTTGGCAAATAATACTCTTATCACAGCTCAGCATGCCTTTCTCCTACACATAAGGAATCCATCGTAATACACCAGCAGAACAAGAGCACATGTTTCACTTTTCATGAACAAATTGTATTAGATTGCTGAAATGTTCAGAACTGCTATCTAGGATCTCTCATTAACCTGACAAGCAATTAAATGCTAAGATGACATATTCCAATTATGTGAACATCTTCTTGAAATCAAACCTTAGTGAAAGTCCTTCAGACTCTAATTAGAAAATCCCCCCCCCCCAACAATGTATACTACTTGTACCCTGCTCTGAAATATTAGCCTAATTTATTTGCATCTTCACATAGCACACTCCAAACAGCTTTCAACAACAGAATGTCTGCTCCTTTTTTATACAGTGCAGAGAAAGAGATACATTTTGGAGGAAATAATCCATTTGACACATCTATATCATGCTGTCAATTATACCTAGCGATATCTAAACAGGATTTTTAAAATTACAGTTGCTTGTGCCTGCAACCAGATCAAATAACCAATAGCTATGGTTTTTAGAAAATAACCTACCAGTTGAGATCAATCAATTGAAAAAAAATTAAGCTGAGGTGAAAGCAGCCACTACCCTCACATCAGAATCCAAAGAGCTACTAGCGAACTGAGCCCAAGTACATGGGTATGTCCTGTAAGATTATCCCCCCGCCCCGCTTTCTTTGGATAGCAGGGCCCCTTAGCCAAAAGGTTTTGATTTAATATGAGGCATGGCAGACTGTTATGCAAGAAAGACAAGCCTAAAGTTCCCTTGGGAATGCTGAGCCAACTTGGAAGATCTCATTGCCTTATGGGACTTTCTGGATTGTGCTCTGCTATTGATTCTGGGTTTTAGTTTTAATTACGTATTCACAGAATTTACTCTAGTGCATCGACCATTTTAAAAAAATGAATAAATCTTTATCTTGGCACATGGTAGGAACGGTAACACAGAACTGTTAAACATAAAAAGGCTAACCGGAAGTGTACTGTGCATATCTCTCAATCTAGATACCCTTTTCTAGAAGTAGCCTCTTCTAAATGCTGCTTAGATACCATTTTGCATTAAGGAACAGGGGCTTTATCAATGCTGCGACGCCAAAAAAAAAAAATCAACGGAACAGCAAATAAATGCATGGTAATTAACTAAAATGAATGTTATGTTACTTGTGCTTATCCAGCCTTTGAGAAGAGATTGAATTTAAGGCAGACAAAAATCAGTTTATTGTAAACAACTACTGAAAATGAGAGTGTTTGAAGAACACACTGGATTTTCCATTCAAGTAAACAGGATTATTTAAACTATTATCTGAACTATGTTACAAGATAAAGCATCATTACGTTGGAGCAACATACTGAATGGGAAAGCCTAGACTCTCAAAGTCTGCTAAGGTTAACAAAGGAATCCAGCACAGCCCATTATCAAGCTCATATGATGCTTTTTCACGATATAAAGACAAGCATCACCACCTAAGGTCTACAGATCAAGCAGCAGAGGAACAAAGGATCAGCAAAACTTGTAACCTAATTTTCTATCAAACAAGACCAAGAATCTGGTTCAACCAGTGCAACATACCAACATCTTGCAACCCCAAAGGCAACTACTTCAAGCAGCTGATGGTAACAGGACAATTCAAATAGATCTAGATCGATGGTTGCAGTTAATACGGCAAAACTCTGACTGAACCCCTTAACCTACACTGGATTAAGTCCAGAAATTCATATCTAACCAACTTTTGGTTACAAGTTGCTTCACTGTGGGCTGCTTCTTTGGTGTGCTCTTCAGATGGGATGAGGAAGGCATGAGGTAAGGAGGAGTCTGGGCCAGGGTCACACTATGTTGGATTCTTAAAAGAAAGATGTTGATAGCATTAGAGCACCGACACCCAAATTCTAAACCTGTCTCTTTGGAAACAAGTCCCAGAAACTTCAATGGCACTCATACCCAAGTAAGCATACTTAGGATCTGTGTGTTAGCTACCTCTTGTAAGAAGCTTATGTACTTCTGAAGAGAGATGTAAAAGAAAACTGCTCTGTAAGAGACCCAGATTCACCTGAATCAGGAATACTCCAGCAAGAAGTCACCTTTGAAAATAGCCAGTGAAGCAGCTACAGAACATGCCTCCAGTACCAGTATTTCACATCACCCTCAGCAGGAGTCTCACAGTAACCTCAGTAACCTTTGGAAGGTATTTTGACATCATGACAGATGTACCGCTTACATCCAACAAGCTGTACAGTGCCCCCTTTACACTTGACATACAGCATGCTGTACATCTCTAAGGCACTAAAGAGACAATTTCCTCTTAATAGTTATCACACAGCAATACCTTTATAAGAATCGTGTGGTGCCAGCTAGGAATGATGGGAGTGTTGTGTTGGATCCAAACAAATATTTACTACTGAGTGAAACCCTTCATCAGAGGAAGATACTCACTTAATAGAAGTGAGCCTTGGGATCCAAATCCATCACCACTATCTTGCATTAATCTTTGTGAAAGTGAAAAACTTCCTTTGTCTGGTGTTCTTTGGATTCCGCATACAAGCTACCAAAAGGTATGCTCATATCCTGAAAAACCATCATCTGGTCTCACACATACAGACTGAACACACTTTACACTCGCTTCAAATATTCTGGAAGCTGCTTCTTTGGTCGTTTAATGATCCCTCCGTCATTACTGGCTACCATCATCATAATGCCCAGTAAACGCATGCCACCTCATAACAACTCTGCAATGAAGAAACGATCTCTGTTTGAAACTCAAAGTGCCTTGAAATAAATGTCCATATGTGTTTCAAAAGCTACATTTTCACCATTATAAAAATATTCCTCTTACAAATCTTTAAAGCTTATAGAAGCCAGGAAAATACTCAAGAGCATCTTTGATACTCAATTGCTTTCTCTTATATAAAGTATTAGCAGGGAATAATTTGTGCTGTACCAATTTACCCCCCCCCCCAGCTCACTTACAGTACACATTCAACGTTTTACATTAAATTATTGTAAGGTGAAAGTGCATTGTATCTGCAGATCTATACTAAGAGATAACATTGATTTCTTTAGACAACTGCATATTTTGGGCTGAAGCAGCTCCATAGTTTGAAAATGCTGTTTGAGTGTGTTTTTTTCTCACCTTACAGATAATTTTACGTGGAGAGGGCTGACTTTATCACATATCCGTATATTACTTTCCTGGCTTTACTCTTTTTTTTTGCGCAAAGTTATTTGGCATTTGTACATTGACTGCTCTTTCCCCAACAGATAAGTTTGTTCTCTTGTGGACTCATTTTAGGGAAGACACCTTTGTCCCAGGACTAAGCCAAAACTTTGCTAGTGTTTCTTGTATGTGATTTCCATTAGCTGGTTCTCCTGCATTTCCATGAAGATGGTCGCTCATCCTGCAGCTTTTTAAATTTCGGTCCAAGAAAGAGCCACCAAGCAAATCCTAAAACAACACATGTTATGGACTCCACATAATAACCATCAAGGGTTATTACACATGAGCCACCTTCTTTTGTACAAAGCTGCAAGAAAGAGGGAGACAGAAAAGGCATTAAATATGCACTACCAAAAAAATTGCATTTGACATAAAAATGTATCTTAAGAATTAATTGCCCTTGTCATGATCTGTGTAGGCCTAGGAGAAAGGCCTAGAAGCCTGTGTGGGACTGGAGAGCAGACAGCCTACAACCCCCACAATGCTTAGCAACGGTTGTAGCCAATCAGTGTACAGAGATTGGGTGAGGGAATGGAACTTAAGCTTTCTGAACTGGGTTCTTTTCTCTTCTGCAGTCTTGCCTCACACAGAGAGTAAAGCTGAGGGGACAGTTTGGTCTGAGGAGAAAGATCCCTCACTTGGGACAAGAGTGAATACAGGCAGGAGGCCTGGTATAAGAAGGCTGTGGGCCTTGAAATAGTAACTAGTTAAGTGAACTAGGTAGTCGAGTTAGATTCATTTATTTTGCCTTTAAACACTGTTATATATTTTAAAGCACCTTGGCTTGTTTTCCTTGCCCCAGTACTGTGCTAATAAACCATTTGTTTAAGTGTTCTCTGCCTGGTCATCACACCTATGATCTCGGCTTAAAAAGGGGCATTTTGGATGGGCTTCGGAGGGTACTCTGGGTTTTCTCAAGGGACCCGAAGTCCAGAGTGGTGGCAGCTGGCGGTGGCAACCTGCAATGGAAATGGAGAGTGCTACCCAGGACTGGAATGACAGCATGGAGGAAGTGGGGCAGGCTTTTGCGGAGAGCTCCGGGAAAGGGCTGCCCTGAATGTCCTCTGTCCTTCTCCACCCCACCCCACCCCACTCCACCCCACCTTTCACTTCTCACACAGCTGCAAGGTCTGGGCTTGTGCAGGGAGTAGGAGGTGGGAGGGGAAAGGTTGGGTGGGGGCATGCCGAATGTCACTTCGTGATACCATATGTCAGGGTGGGGGATGAGGGGGGCTAGTCACCTGCCTGTGCCCACCCCATGTGGTGCGATGAGACACCTTGACGGAAACAGCTGGTGCATCCGCTGTTTTTTTCTTCTCCCACCTCCTCTGCATCTATGAGCTCAGACCATGCCACAGGACAAGAGGAAGAGGCCCAGGGAGAAAAGGACAGAGGGATGTGCCAGCTGGTTTCTCCAAGGCCCTTTCTTAGCACCATGGGAGGGGTGATGGCGATAGATGCCATCTTTCCAGCTCTTCCTTGCCTGGGGGCAGGGCCAGTCTAAAGTTTCCCCCCCCCCAGTGTCATTCTGCCTTTGCCCCTTTCCCCAACTGTGAGAGTTACATAAAATTGAGGTTTACATACAAAGTGTGGGTGGGAGGAGATTCTACCAAATTAATCCAGTTTCACATTTTCTGGAAAAGTCCCGCATCTCTTTTGCAAAACAGACAAATAGCCTGTGAAGCGGGATTGTATATTTTCAACAATAAGTACAATTTAATGTCCATTTCAACAATACGCCTAGCTCTCCCCCACAATATCTGACAGGACATATAAAGAAAGCCACTGTTAAAAGAGTCACCATATTTAAGCAACCTAGCATTTGAATGAAAAACCTGCCATTCCTCTAACTTACGCAATTCCACAGGGCCTGTAAGGCAGAGATGTTCCACCAGGCATTCGGCTTAGGACAACAATGGTTAACATCATGGCTGGCACCCTACCTGGACCCTTATTCCTTACAGAACTTACTTCCCCCCCAGAATGTGTGAAGCACTCACATACCAGATATATTAGGGAGCTACAAAATTGTACCACTTGCTTTTAATTACTGTATGATGTCAGATTTCGTTTTTATGGGTTTTTTAATACTTTTAGAACTCTTGTACATTGCCTAGAGCCCCACAATTGTGGGGATAGGCGATTAATCAATGGAATGAAATAAATAAATAGCTTACTTCAGCAGCAGCTGCAGTCCCACAGTCGTGTCCCTGAACTCCAACACATTCCTTCACCGTAAGTGGATCCACAAGCCAAAGAGCTACTGTGGCAGGCCAGTTTCCTCCCAGATTCGATACTGTGTTAAGAAGCGTCATGTAGGTGCCACCAATGAGTGGGTCGCTCACTTTGGCATTGAAAGCCATTACAGCAACATACATGCTGTACAGTGTAATCTAGGGGAAGGACAAGCAAGGACACAAACACAAAAGACAGAATGCTTAAATGGTAGATGTAGTGAACTGCCTTACACTCCAGAATCTGCACATTCTAAAATGTGTGTTAAGGCTTGGCACTCTACACAGGCTCAGAGGTTACAAAGTGCCTTTAGCCGGCTGGCAGGGGAAATGAGAAAAGAGTCAGTATGATTCACCCTCCCAGGCATGAAACTCTCCACTGCCATAAAGATGCAAATGGCCTTAGCAGCTGTTGCAGAGGACATGTTGCTGAGACCACAAAGGCAGAAGCCACCAAACCACTGAAAGAAGGTACCGGATGATTTCTAAATGCTTGCAACTACAACAATCAATCACCTACCCTAACTTCCTATCATTCAGGGTATGTAAGAGTTCAGGTCAGTTTTTATCACCTTTTTCTTTGGTCCTTGCTCATTCTGTTACATTTACTTATGATGTGCACACTTTTATTTTCTTATTCAATTTCTTAACATTTTGAAAGAGGTTTGTTTGGTCTCTGAGTTACACAATAAAGTCTCCCTTCTGGGAAGGGGGCAGCAGTTGATTCCAATTTCACTAGAATGCACAAGGAAGAACACTTAGCCCCTTCACTAGCAGATACAAAAGGCAAAGGAGGCAAAAAATGGCAGAGCTGCACCTTTAAGCAGCCAGCTATAGAAGGTGCCTGGGCTCAAGTACTCAGGCTGAAGGTGCTTAGTACAGCTCATTCTATTAGCTACTATGCTTCTCCTAGTTACTGTTTCAGTCTCTGGTTCGGGCATAATATATGGAATACTAGATTTTTAAAATCATGTGTAATTTGGACACTCAAAATTCTTTGTACAAAGTTCAATCAGTCACACTGCGCCCAAATGCAGCAATTCATATTATGCATGTTTTCTCTGTTGTTGTGAGCAAAATCTATCTAATTATTTAGGGAAGCCTGGAATTAACAGCAACAATAAGAAAGCATGAGGAACAGACGGGACATTCTGCATTCTTGAACAATGCTTAAGCACAATATATTGCCCACATGGAAAACTGCTGTAAAATGGGCCCAATTACACTGATAAAGATGAATTTACGCATGACAGAATAATTATAGTAACATTACCTGATGCAAAGCATAACTCAGCAATAATATAAAATAATAATAGATAGGAAATCCTCCTTCATATTTTACTCTGGGAGTCCACCAAACCAAGAAGGCAAATTCCAACCCAAGCAATAACCTGCGGGGGGAAAGGGGCAAAAGAGGGATGAGGGGAAACATTTCTAGTTAGTAAACAACACCATGCTCCCAATATTGCGGCAATAGGATCAAACAGGGTTTATGATACAATACATTATCAGGAAAGAGCTTAACATTGGCCAACTGGACCATCTAGATCAGAGGTGTCGAACTCATTTGTTACAAGGGCTGGATTTGACATAAATGTCACTTTGTCGGGCCAGGCCACGTGTGCCATAAAACATAATGCCAAGTACTGGAGATATAAACTGTATAAAAGACAGTAGCTGGTAAGCTCCGAGTTGGTGTATCCTCACTGCAGGGCCTCATGGACTGGGAGAGGGTGGACTGGAGAGCCAGAGGTGCAGCACTAGGCAGACACTCCCATGCTGCTTGTCTGCTGCAGACGAGGTTGTTCCGCTGTGCTGAAGCCAAAATCAGAGTAGCTCCCCCCCCCACTCCCCCAAGCAGTCTCCTCTTCCCTCCCTTGCACTAGTTGCTTGTGGGCCACATAAGAGCCCTGGATGGGCTGGTTCTGGCCCCTGGGCCTTATGTTTGTCAGCCCAGATCTAGATCCAGGGGTGTGCAAAAAATGGTATTTTTTCCAATTGGACCCATAAAATATCGGTATTCCTGAATATTTCCAAATCCCAATATTGGTATTATATTGGGATTTGGGAAACCTAATTTTATTGGGCTCCATTACACCCTATAGGGACTGTCCCCATAGGGTATAATGGAGTTCAGAAGGCTTTTAAACTTTAAACGCCTTCTGAGTTCCCTAACAGCCAGGTAGGTGAGCTTGGAAGCAGGGGAAGGAGCAAAAAGGCTTTTAGCCATTTAAATGTAACAGCGGGGTGGGTAAGCCCATCAACTGTTAGGCTGACATGGCTGGAAGCCAATTCATCAATCCCTTTTGTTTCCCCCGTTTCCAAGCTGAGGGGCGGGGTGAAAAGGATTGACAAATTGGCTTCCAGCCATGTCAGCCTAACAGCGAACAGCCTCACCAGCCCCGCAGTTAGGTTTAAATGGCTAATGGCTACATTTTCCTGGTTCAGGCTCATTCCTAATTCAGAAGGCATTTAAACTTTGAATGCCTTCTGAGTTCACTCACTGAGTTGTGCCGTGGCGGCGGCACAACTCAGCGAGTTCAGAAGGCATTTAAAGTTTAAACACCTTCTGAGTTCACTCACTGAGTTGCTGCAGCAGCACAACTCGGCAAGTCAGCTTAGAAGGCATTTAAAGAGACCACTGTCTCTTTAAATTCCTTCTAGACACACCTGAATAAAAGCCGAATAATATCAACTTTTATTTGGGCATGGCTATTTTAGTAGCAGAATCAGATCCTCTAATCTGATTTGGCTGCACAAATACCTGAAAAATACCGATAAAGTATTTTTGGGGTATTTATTTGGCTTGGTATATACCGAGCGCACACCCCTATCTAGATCCTCCTGGTTGCTATGAATGTTGGTCTTGTTGGAACTTGATTTGATCTCGCCAAGCACTGTTTTTGTTCTCAAGTTGGAATGTATAGCAAAGATCACTTATGTATACATATTTATGCCTGAACTGGTATGAGACTCCAAGGATGCATTCTGGCTTTGCAAATCTGACACATGGATTCTAGTTAAAACACAAGATGGACAAGCAACGCAAGACAGAAGTTAGCTCACTCTCTTACACAAAGAGAACTTTTACAGTCCAGAAAGAAATCTTGATATGCCCACTTAGCCTGAATCACTGAACAGAATCAGCTCCACAGGCCAAACAGGAAGTACCCAGAAGCCCCAAATTATTCCCAACATAAATGTCAAAGGCAAGCCTATTTCAGCTGAAGACTGATGGTGAAAGTCGACCGGGTTTGGGGGGGGGGGGGGAGGTAGTCCTTTCATAGGTGCACTCTTAATTAAGCAAAGCTCTTGTGCGGTTTAATTAAGAAATGCTACCTCCTTTCATGAGAAACTGCACAATGAACAGATGGAGGGATTTCAAGTCTACAGTCACTGCACAATGTTTACCAATTAAAATTTTGACACGGAATCGCATAGCGTTTTAAAGGCTGGAAATTATAGTCTCATATTGATGGATGATGCAAGGTATGAACAAATGTACATTCAAAAGCCTTTTTTACCTAAATGGCATGGCTTTGTAAAATGTGTTCAGAGGCTGTGGGCCTGCTGTGTACTTGCTGATGATCAGAGGCAATATGATCTGCAGGGGGACCATTGGAACAGCAAGCAGAGCCAAGTGTTCCTTAGGCACTCCTTCTTCTACCAGTTTGAGTCCTGTAACCGCATCTGCTGCTGAGAAGCCAATCTGCAATACAAGAGCATGTACTGTTAATACATCCATTAGTAAACGGGCTAACCCCTGTGCTTATAAGGAAAACTACAAAATCAGGGCACCCACCGTCATGGTAGGGGGTTCTGCCTACTTGGGGGACTCCCTAGATACCCAACCACCACCCCACAATAGAAAGAGAAAAAGGCTAAGAACCTGGCATGATGAAGACTGAAAATGCTCCAGAAGAGAAAGAATACTGAAGGGGGGAGGGCAGAAGCTGGCCTAAATTAACCCCAGTGAGTTTCACAGCAGAGTGGAGATTTCAACTCAGGTCTCCTAGTACTTCTGGCAACCACTACACCAGCGCCCCCAACCTTTTTGAGCCTGTGGGCACCCCTGGAATTTTAAGAAGGGCAGTGTGCATCACGCTAAAATGGCCACCACAGGAGGTAGAGCCAAACTCAAAATGGCTGCCATGGGATGCATGGCGGCCACGGATCCCTCCCTCCTCACTTTGCAAGTGAGGGCAGCCGCGGGGGGGGGGGGAGAAAGAGAAGGGGAACCACAATCCTGGAGGCTTACTAGTCCTGATCCTCCAGCGGTAACTGCTGCTGCTATTGTATGCATGGGGAAATTTTTCATTTGAATAAGGGCAGCCAATAACAAACCCTTACGTACAAAAGCCCTGGCTACTCTCTGAAAAGCTCAACAGGTGCCAGGGGAAGTACTTGTGGACACCATGGTGCTCACAGGTGAAAAACTGGGGGACCCTGAACTATGCAGCACTAAAAAGAAAAATATGGGGGAAGAAATAAGTTCACTTGCTCAAGCCCCTGAAAAATACAGAGAATTGTAGAGGATGACAGTTCGGAGAATGGTGCAAGACTTCCAAATTGTCCCACTGCTCTCTTGATGCTACATCTAGAAGAAAATGACAAGCACTGTGGAAAATGAGCAGGAAATCCCCCCCCCCAAAAAAAAAATCTGGGGAAAGGGTGATGAAGGAAGACAAACAGAAGCAGCACAGCCAGCCTCTTTGGTTGAATTTAACACAGGTAACTGGACTTATATTCTCTGCCAAGGTCAAAAAAATAGAAAGCCCAGAGTATGGGAATGCGTCACATCATGCAGACATTACTTGCATAGGCAAGTGATTATCTGTATTACTCAGGGAACGATTCCAGCAGTGTATTTCCCCTAATTACTGGGAAATGTAGTTTAGAAGGTATTCTAGCAGTTAAATCCACAAAAGGCACCATATGGAATGTAGCCCACAAGGATGTGTTTAGACCAGCAAGTCCCTACAAAAACTGAAGCATCAAAACAGATGAAGACACATAGAGACTGCTACATAAGCCACCCTGTTGCTCATACAAATATATGTAACAAAGATGGCACATGCATTGACTTTATGAACACAAAGGCCAGAGGTATCCAGGGGCTTGACAAGTGGAGCTGTGCTCTGCTGCCAATCAACTGCAAGCTCCCATTGCAAGGGTCATTACCCAATATTAACTGGTTGGATGCCCAGCACAGCAACAGTGAGCCAAGCAACTGCACCAACATGATGCCCTGCACTAACTCATTAAAACAGCACAACTCTGAGAAGTCCAAGTGCGCAGCAACCACAATGCCCCATGGTTACTATTTATTTGCTGCTCATGGGACTGGTCCATAGGTTAACTGCTAATAAATTAGAAACCTGTAGAGGCAGCCTGCATCCACAACCCACTTACTCACTTTTGCCGTTAAAACCAGGACACAGAACGTAAGGACTGCTGGCATTCTGATGATAGAGAAAAGCAGCTTGTATGTATCCGTGATGCCTTTTGTTTCTTCTCTAGACAAGCTTACTTCCTTATTTTCTTTTTTCAAGAGTGCAACCAAGGTGGTGGTTATTAAGAAAATGGCACCCCAGAAAAACAGGAAATCTGGGAAAAGAAAAACATTACTTCCACTCACAATTCAATTCTTTTCTATCATAAAAGACACTTTCTGCCAACATCACACTGTTTAAGAGCATACACCGAAAGTAACATCCATCAGCTGTACGTCAGTCACTCTATCACCTGAACACAGAAAATCCTCTTCAGAAATGATCCCTATCTCCAGATACCTTTCTAATCTAGGCTGTAATCCACACCCTAAATTAACTCCAGAATAGCTCATTAAACAAATTAAAGAAAATGTATACTGTGCTTTTGGAGAGATCTTCTTGAGGAGTCTCACAAAGTAGAAATGATACAACAATAAAATAACTTTTAAAAAAAATTAAAATCAGCCACTGCACAGCCAAGCCCTTGCTAGGCAGTATTAAACCTAGTATAAAAACAATATTCAGCATCTTAGAATAGTATCCATAAAACAGCCTTCAAGGAAAGGGAAGGGAAGGGAAGGGAAGGGAAGGGAAGGGAAGGGTGTTTGCTATCCAGTATAGGCACACTATGTAGAGAGACTGATTATGGTGAAGATAGTTTCAGGTGTAGAGAGCTTTGAGTCTCGAGCACTTATACCCTGGAAATCTTGTTGGTCTTTAAGGTGCTACTGGACTCAAATCTCACTTATTGTTATAATAACTTCCAACATGATTAGCAGCAACCACTATTTTACAACTGGTCCCACCATCCACTATACAGAGCAAAACAAACAATATGATCAACCACAACCAGCCCGTACAGCAGTGTAAGGCCACAAAACTTTGGCATTACAACAAACAGCTACATTGTGCAAGGCCTTGCAGAGAAAGATGCAGGCAAAGAGGAGAGATGCAGTGAATGGAACGGTGGCCTTCACTAGGGATGCCTGCATCAAAGCCTGGCTTAGCCCTGAACCTTATTCACTGGTCTTCACCAGGTCAAAAAAACTGTATTTTTGAGGACAAAATGGGTCAATGCTGCAGACATCATTCTGAGGAGCTTAGATAAAAAGATGAAATACTCGTGCATGTGATAAATCCAAGGCAATGCGGTCAGGGACTGCTGCCCAGTCTCACATTAGTGAAGTGTTATGACCACAGATCTGTATGTATCCAAACACTCAGGTTTTATGGGCCACGGCTTATATCTTTCTCCCCATCTTTTTTATGTACTTAATATCAAAGAGGGGGAGGAAGAAAAGATTGGATTTATACCCCGCCCTTCATTCAGAGTCTCAGAGTGGCTTACAGTCTCCTTTCCCTTCCCCTCCCCTCCACAGACACCCTGTGAGGTAGATGAGGCTGAGAGAGCTCTGACAGAAACTGCTCTTTCAAGAACAGCTCTGACAGAACAATGGCTTGCCCAAGGTCATCCAGCAACTGCAAGTGGAAGAGTGGGGAATCAAACCTGGTTCTCCCAGATTAGAATCTGCACACTTAACCACTGCACCAAACTGTAATGTTTGTCAGCCAGTTCACAGTTTATAATTGTACTTGGTCCTAATAAAAGACACCATGCCTGTTGACATTTTTCTCTGATATCAGGGGTTTTGCCTGTCCTGCAGAGTTCCAGCTTTCCTGTTACTCAAATAAGTGGCTTTAGCATTTACTGGAATCTGACAGCACCTGCAACAGTTACACTTGGGAATAATGCAAAAAAGTCAATGCAGGTGCACTGATATTGGGCAGATTTAGGATTAAAACAAAGCTCAAAGCTAATATGCTGCTGCAGAGGTGCCCCCATAATCTAATCACATAAATATTAAGATTTTCAAAGGCTACAATAGATTACATTAGATACAGGCTTAGCCAACTGAATTAATGAGTACTGGGGAAAATATTGAAATTGCTAGCCATATACACAGATCCCTTTAACTAAGAAGATTAAGTTACAGCTACTAATCAAACAAGTAAAGAAAGGAAGATGACATATGGTAGGCTGGTCATTAGGAAGCCAACTAATTTTGTTAAGGAAGGAGAGATTAAAACACTGCCGGTTGCACAACAATCCAAGAGAGAAAATACTGGATTCCAAGGTTCAGGTCCTAAACATACATAATAATAATTAAATATGGCCAAATCGCAACTATCTTATGGCAGTCTGGAAACCCTTCATGGCAAGAGATGGGCAGTGATCCTGGACTACTTTGGTGGTCTCTGATTCAAGTAATAACCATAGCTGACCATGCTTAGCTCCTCACAAGTTCAGGCTAGTCTAGAGTATTCAGGTGGCTGTAACCACTAACTTGGTTGTAAATGGAAACTAACTTAGTGGGGCTTACTTCAGAGTAAACTTCCTCTGCTCGAGGAAGCTGTCAGCAGCAAAAACCATGCTGTTTTTGCAGTGACCAGCCTGCTATATAAATTCTACTCCTGAAGTCTGCCCAACACGCTCTAACACATGACATAAGCCATTGTTCCCATTTGTTTCAGACTATTTGGAAACTATTTATAAATATACATGGCCAGTTCCCAACTTTCTGGCACACTCTAGCCTGATTAATGCATAACAGGGCTAAGCAGGCTAGTGCCAGCTTGGTTTTCAATACCTTCCATTCAGCTGCAGCCTAAAACACAATGGGGAAGAGGAAAAACCTGTTTCTCACTTGAAGCATTAGAATAAGAATGAGGAAGAGACACAGCTTCCATCCCAGTGGAGTCCCTGAGCCTTTACGTTTTCCTCTAACAATGAATGGTTGTCATGAATTCATCCTAGAAAAGTCAAAGTTCTACCATCTAGGACACCATTTTGGCATGAGAAAAATAGATCTACCACCCAGGCATCGAGTGGCTTGGACTCATCAACTGGGACCACAAGTCATGGGGATGGGACTATGTTCTGTCAGAGCTGTTCTCTCAAGGACAGTTCTGAAAAGAACTCTCTCAGCCCCACCTACCTCACAGGGTGTCTGTTGTGGGGAGGGGAAAGGAAAGGAGTTTGTAAACCGCTTTGAAACTCCGAGTAAAGGGTGGGGTATAAATCTAATCTCCTCCTCCTATGTCTCCTGAAGAGTTCCAGGGTTGCGAAAGATTACACACACACCCCAATCTGAAGTCAAATTTAGGAGGCACATGGAAGTCATAAACACACACAATATCCATTTGTTATTGTCTCACTAAAGCTCTGTTCGGGACAACAGGGCCAGTCTTGGCAAAGTGGGCCAGGCTATATTCCTTCCTTTGCCTGATACAATGGTCCATATGATTAACAGAAAGTTAGAGGAGAGGGAAGACACTGAGAAAAGGACTTTAACTCTTCACACCACACTGCCAGCTCTGAAACTTGACTTGTCTTTAACTGGTTCCCCAATCAGTATTAGGCCTTTCTATGGCAGCACTATATTTCAACACTATTTGTTCACAGATTTCACATTTTGCTTTAATTTCCTAAACCTTATGAATCAAAAGTATTTTTCTTCTCTCATTAGCATCAAGTCAATAAGGGCAATTACCTTATTTTATTCCTTAATGAACATTTACCTATGCTTCATAATAACATGAAGAAAAATACACATATGGAGAACTCCTGCCTTCCTAAACAAAAGTGGGGGAAAGCTTTTGGCTTTTATATGGCAAAAAGCAGATGTCAAAACTTCTGCAGAGTTACTTTCCATTCTCAATAGGTATGTAAATACAGGTCGGGAATGCCAGCTTTTTACCACAAAGAACATATTAAAAGATGCGACAAACTGTGAACCTTCAAAGTTGGGATGGTATGACAGTGCTGAAGGCTAAATGCTACTCAGGGATGTAGCCATTTTGCACTATAGCCCTATCCAAAGCTGCCCAACTTAGAATGAGTTCTCATCACTTCTGACAATTCTACATGTGACCAGCATTCAATGGGTTGACAATTAAGCTTACAAAAAAGATACAGCATGCTCTCATGATATTTCCATTATTAACAAGTGATACCTGAAAGCGTAACAATCCCACGTGGTTGAGGCTCAAAGCGCAAATATTTGTTACAAAAGGAAGCAGATTCAAGGGCCAAGAACAAGACATTCCCCAGGAAGTAACCAGCTGTCTGGCCCACAGAGTTACAAGTGGAAGCATAGCCCACGTTCTCCCTGGACAACATAGTTAATGCCCAGCCATCCACAGCTATATCTTGAGTGGCTGCCAAGAACTCAAATAAGAAGAAAGTCACAGTAAGTGCCACCACATCTGGGCTTTTGCCTTCTACCTCCCCAAGTAGAGAGTCCACCTGCTTAGAAAGGTACATCATAAAAAGTCCTAAGACGTACTGAGTGGGCACAAGCCAAGACTTGCGGCGACCAAAGCTCTTGAAGTACACAGCATCCACCATGGGGGCCCAAAGCAGTTTCAGGCTGAAGGGCCAGAAAACAAAACTAAAAAAGGCCTGGTCTGTGTAGCTAACATTCTTGCTTTGTAAGATGAGAGGTATGCTGCCCGCAAGCCCCAGAGGAATACCCTGCAGCACATAGAGGAAAAGGAGAAGCAAGATACTGCCCAGTTCTGCTCGATAGCCTCGGGGAGTCCTGGTGGGTCTAGAACTCGGTTCCTGAAGCAGAGCTTCTCTATCATCTCCACCAACTGTCTCAGGATGGCCACCCTCATAAAGGTCCAAGGGTGGAGAGTCACTCTTCATCACCTCCAGAGGATGCTGGTAGCTTCCAGTCCGGCGCTGCCGACTGCTGTCCTTGAGTGAGATAGTTGGTGACATGTCACACACGTAATCCGCCGCCGTTGTTTTGGGGAACAGGTTGTCCTTCCACAGTAGCTGCTTTACACCTACAAAGCTGCCTCGCAAAGCCCCAGAAGCAGTCAAGCCGTCAAGGGGCACTTTCAGCTAAAGGCAGATCACCTGAAAGAGGGGGGAACTGTCCACGAGGCAGCCTTCCCTACTTCTAAAGCAGTCTCTGGCCCTTGTCATTTGCAAGAATAGCGGAGACCGACTCAGGCCTGGAAGGACGAGGAATACGAGGCGGTGAGACGGTGCCAAGACGCCGCTGCTGGGTCAGCCTCGCCGGTCGGAGGCGACGAGCCTCCCCCAAACCTCGGCTGGGAAACGAACCAGCGCTAGAAGGACGAAGGGGCTTCTTCCTCGCTGGTGTCACAGGCCTTCCTTCGTCTCGCCCAGGTCTCAAATTCAAGTAACAAGAATTTTTAGTCCTCCGTGCTTGGCAATTCGGTTTAGTCCACCCATAAAAGCTTCCCCACCGGAAACACGAACTGATCCATGAGGTCCGCCAAGCCTCCAAAAATTTCCAGGTAGCCGTGGTCCTATCCTACTGGCTGAAAGGGGGCTACGTCATGAAGAGACTGCCCTATCATAGAACAGCATTGGCCGGCTGAGGAAACAGAGCTCTGCCGGGCAAAAGCGTTTCAGAATCAATGAGTCACGTTTCCGGGCAGGGGGCAAGAGAGCCAAAGGATTTGCACGGTACACGATAGAGATTTGGAGGATAGAGAGCCTCTGAGCGTCTATATTGTGCTCTCGTCCATGCAAAGTAAGACAAGCACATGGAAGCCGGAAGTGTAAGTTGTAATGTATGGCAATGCTCACTTATCCTGAATTTATCTCTATACAGAATCAGATGGGTAGCTGTGTTGATCAGAAGCTGCGGAACCATATTTGAGTCCAGTGGCACCTTTAAGACCAACAAAGTTTTATTCAAGGTATAAGCTTTCCTATACACGCACACTTCTTCAGATACAATGGAATAGAAGTTACCTTTCCATACATACAGGTAGAGGGGTGGGCACTCAATGAAATTGCTGAGCAGTCGGGTGAGAACAGATAAAAGGAAGTACTTCTTCACCCAAAGAGTGATAAACCAGCATGTACGGCTTCAATAGGGAATTAGATAAACGTATGGACCAGAGATCCATCAGTGGCTATCTATACCACAAACCATAGATAGGAACTCTGGGGCAAGTGATGCTCTGTATTCTTGGTGTTTGGGAGGGGCAACAGTGTCCTGGCCCCACTGATGGACATCTGGTATTTTTGGCCACTGTGTGACAGAGCGTTGGACTGGATGGGCCATTGGCCTGCCTGATCCAACATTGGCTTCTCTTATGTACCTAGGGTGGGCAGCAAACTAGCGTACAACATAATGAAGATATTTAGCAGATGCAAAGACCAAACAGGAATAATATGCTTACGTTACCATTTGTTTGGGTTTAATTCTGGGGGGAAACATAGTGAAGGAAATAAATATGTCACAATTGGAGATTGATGTATGCTGAGAGTGGATTAACTGAGACCCTGCCATTACGCTCCATCCATCTCCTCAAGCATGGAAGCGACCGTACAGCATTTTCTTCTTTTAAGTATTTTATTTATTTATTCAGTTTATATCCCTATCTCACAAGCAGGCTCAGGGCAACTCACAACATACGATAAAACAATAAATAACAGTCCATTAAAACATCAGTCATTTCATATAGGTAAATTAATTGGTTAAAATAATATCTGATGGCAGCTAGACTTTTCCTAACTCCAGTGCATGCTGCAGCAATGTCATGGAGGACACATTTTCTCAAGTTAATGCGAGTCAACTGATAATGATGTCACATTGATATAGCAGTGCCCTAAGCATGCACACAAAAGCTTATACCCAGAATTAAACTTTGTTGGTCTTAAAGGTATCACTGGACTCCAACTTTGTCCTGTTGCTTCAGACCAACATGGCTACCCACCTGAATCTATAGTTTATAAAGGTGGTTTCCCATACAAGAATCCCTTCTCAGGGAAAGGTTTTTAGCACTGAATCACAACTAAACACGGATCTTGAAACAACTGACAGATTACTATCTCTGTAATGTTAACCAGAGATGTAAATCCCAGTAAAATTAATGAGCCTTATTTCTAGGTAGTCATGAGAAGCTGGGGTGGTGTAGTGGTTAGAGTGTTATACTACGATCTGGGAGAGCCAGATTCAAATCCCCCGTCTGCGATGGAAGCTCAGTGGGTGACTTTTGGCCAGTCTCAGCCTAACTAATTTTCAACAGGGCTGTTCTGAGGATGAAACACAGGACAGGAGAAGGATGTAAGCCACAGAACGGTGGGATATAAATGAAACACATAAAAAAATAAAATGTCTACAGTCATGTCATTAATGTATAATATTAGAGACAGCTGAGAAAATAACATAACACTATTTTTGAAATCCGACCTTCAGAAACAAGTTAACCATTTTTGTATTTTGTCCTTATCAAAGGTAGTGGGTTTATTGTTAGCCCACTCCTTCCCCAAGGAGCTTTGGCTAATGCTCATTTCCTATGCTGCCTCCCCCTTTTATCATCACAGCACACCTATAAGGGAGGTTAGGCTAAGAATGAGAGCTTCACGGCAGAGAGGACCACTTTAGCCTAAGTTTCCTTGCTTCAGATCGCTCTAACCACTACACCACACTGGCTCCCATCTAGTTCTGTAATGTTAATGGAACGTGTCCAGAGTTAAGTGTTTTGCAGTACCATGTCTCAAGCTTCATTTATTTATTTATTTTATTTTTGGATTTATATCCCGCCCTCCCCGAAGGCTCAGGGCGGCTAACAACGGGGCACATGTGCCAGAATTAAAACAAAACAGTCTAAAACAGTAAAACAATACAATACAACAACAAAGTGTCAGTGCAAGATGAGGTAGGTCTTGGTTGAATGGCATTGATCCCATGGATTATATCCATGGATTATAATTACCAGAGTGTATTTGTGGGGGCAGAGCCTGGGAAGGTCCCAAATGCGTTCCCTTGGTGACTGCTGCTTTCTGGAATCATCTCATCGGCACCTTGCTGTGTGGGCAGTGCTAGGTATTCTTTGTTCAAACAGATATTTAAGTACTGGGTTGTCCAGCAGCATTTCAGCTAAATTCTTGCCTGGCACTAGAATGTATAAAGCTGAGGAAACAGTGGACTCGCATTGCAAGAGCCACAGGCACGATTTCTGTGCTTGTCTTTGGCCTTCCTGTATAAACATTGTCCCATCTCACACAGAAGACAAGAAATCAATGTTTATGGCTCTTTATTCAGAAAATGGGCATGGCACCTCTCCGGAGACTGGCATGAGGTGGCTGAATGGGCTCTAATGGAATGGTGGGTAGGAGTGCTGTCCCTCCAACAGTCGTAGAACTCTCAGGGTGCAGCCATAGTTCTGTCAGAGCTGTTCTCTCAAGGACAGTTCTGGAAAGAGCTCTCTCAGCCCCACCTACCTTACAGGGTGTCTTTTGAGGGGAGGGGAAGGGAAAGGAAAGGAGTTTGTAAGCCACTCTGAGACTCTGAGTGAAGGGTGGGGTATAAATCCCATCTCTTCTTCTTGTAGGGATGAGAAAACCTGCACTTCCTTCATGCAACTGTGAAATGTCCTGAAGCCCTACCTTCCCTCTGACCACACAGACAAAATCCCAAGTATACTTAGACTTGTGCTTAGCTCTTTTCAACCTTACCCACAGCTCTTATTCTGTCAACATGAACTGTTGCAAGTAGAAGAACGACATTTGAGTCCAGTGGCACCTTTAAGACCAACAAAGTTTAATTCTGGGTATAAGCTTTTGTGTATATGCATATGAAAGCTTGTCTTATACACAGAATAAAACTTTGTTGGTCTTAATGGTGCCATTGGACTCAAACATCGTTCTGCTGCTTCAGACCAACATGGCTACTCACCTGAATCTATTGCAAGCAGAAAAAGCCACAAGTTCCCAGTTACCTACAGTGCTGCCAAGACCATTTGCCCCCTGTTTTCTTGGCCCCAGTCTCTGCCCTTGGTTTGTAACCAACCCACCTGTCCTGCCATTTTAGAAAAGTCTGACCCACCCAGTGCCTAAGAGTTGTTTACTGAAACAATCAAGTAAGCCTCAGTCAGAGGAGGTGCATGCAAGACAAAGGAGGCTAGATTGATGGGAAAATAGGCAGAACTGAATGTTAATCAAGGAACATAATGACCAGTATTTTGGCTGCGGAAAGGAGTAGTCTTGGCATAGAAAGGCAAGCCTAGAGAGAAATTATTCAATTAGGCATGGTCAGCTCTGTGACTGTTATTTTAAACATTTCAGTCCAATCAGAGTACAATTCCCTGTTCTCAGTCTCGACAATCTGAAGGCTTCTGGTTTCATTTGGCCATCTCTTGCCTCCCTCCAGCCCATGAAAACCAAAGCATTGATTCTCTTATTCTCTGCCCCATTTAGCAAGAGCTGACCTTATGCCTTCCAACTCAGGCTCAGCTCAGCTTCAGCCATGTCCTGACTCACTTGTCATTCCTAGTCCTGTTCCACATGTTCTCCCGGGATTACTACCAGAACCATTGCCCAGAAGCTCTTGATTGGGTCCCTTGACAAGCGTTCCCGTCTAGAATGTTAAACCCCTGGTTTGTGGATCTTTAGACCTCGGAACACTATAGGCCACCCCATGCAGAAAAGTTAGTATCTCCCTCCACTCTCTTTGCTATTCCGTCTCTTGGAACCTCACTCCCTTAGCCCTCTGTGCTTTGAGTTACATGCTGCACAGTGCAAATATCGTGTGTTGGGACTGGGTACAGGCATCTGTGGGCTCCTTAGTATTTCTGTACTGCAACATACTTGACTGTTGTTCTGACCCTGAGACTGCACTTTTATTTCCTCTCAAGGAACTTGCTCTGATGAGTCTGTCTGGTGGACAAAGTTCAGGTTTGAGGCCTACTTCCTTGTAGCTGGGTGTTAAAACGCAAGTCAGCAGCTCCTGCCAGGACAGTAAGTGAGAGAGAGTAGAAGAGAAACTTCTCTCCCATGTTTGATTATTTTATGTTCTTTTGAGTCCATTTTGGGAAGCAGATTCAGTCACATGGGAAACATGTCTTAACATACACATGTACAGACCACACACAGTAATGGGGTCATTTTCATTATCTAGACAAAAAGTACATGTAACTATCTGAATGTGTGGGCCAGGCCTGCTGCTGATAACTGTTAACAGAATGTTACTTTAAGAC